ATCTCTGCTGTCTCAGAACTGAGCAGGATTCACCTTAGATTCAATTTGTGTCCATTACCTTGTTCTACTAAATGGTGAAACATGTAGAAGCAATTGTGTACACATATGTATGTGTGTGGTGTGTGTGTGTGTGTGTGTGTGTGTGTGTGTGTGTGTGTGTATAAAGAATTTTGGTTTGATCATCTCCTTTTCCTTCCCCAACTTCCTTTCCACCCAACTTCATGTTTTTCTCTCAGAAAAAAAACAAAAAACAAAAGCCATAGCAAAGTAAACAAGTGAAAATGAAAACAAACTATGGAAGTCTGTTTTGTGTAGTCCTGGGCATGGAGCCTGCCCTGGAATGTGGTTATATACTTAGTGAATTGTTTATTTTTTTGTTACTGACTATAATTGATTAGCATTCCCTGTATCTAAAAATGTTTTCTTTTTATTATGGAAAGTTGTTTTAGTATACTTATTTTTATATAATAACAGATAAAGAATATTTTAACTTTTTTTTTTTTTTTTTTTTTTTTTTGAGCTAGGATTTCTGTATATAAGCAGAGTCTTGGCTGTCCTGGACTTGCTTTGTAGAACATGCTGGCCTCGAACTCACAGCGATAAGCCTGTCTGTGCCTCCCCAAGTGCTGGCATTACAGGCATTTGCCACCTTGGCTATTCTGACATTTTTAAAAGCGGGTGGTTTAGACCAGCAGGTTTAGCATCACTTAGAAATCCCAGAGCTGGGGCTGGAGAGATGGCTCAGTGGTTAAGAGCACTGTCTGCTCTTCCAAAGGTCATGAGTTCAATTCCCAGCAACCACATGGTGGCTCACAACCATCTATAATGTGAACTGATTCTCTCTTCTGGCAAGTGTAAATGTAGATAGAACACTCATATACATAAAATAAATAAATCTTTAAAAAAAAAAAAAAAGAAATCCCAGAGCTACACAATCAGACACTTTGAGGAACGAGCCACCAGCAATCTGTTTTGTAATCTCCATTTGATTATATATATAAAATAAGTATTAAAATTTGAGAACCACTGGTCTAGGGAAATTGCTTCCTAACTAGGATGTAATTTTTATTTCTCTTTTTGTGGTTTTAGCTTAAGTTTCAGGTTTTCTTTTTTTGAGATTTATTTTATGTACACGGGTATCTTGCCTGTATATATATCTGTGTACCTCATGCTTGCCTGATACTGTGGAAACTCTAAGAAGGTGTTGGATCCTCTGGAACTGGAGTTACAAACACCCCTCTTAGCCATTTGGGTACTGAGAGCCCTCTGCAAGAACAGCAAGTGCTGCGTAGTCTCATTAGCCTCAAGTTTTAGGGTTTTGTTGTTTTTACTGGTTTTCTTCCTTTGGGGTAGGGGGTGTTTTTGTTATTTCTAAGCTAATGGCCTCTGTAGCCCAGGGTAGTCTGGAACCGTGTCTGCTGGGGGCCAGCTCTAGCGGTTGACAGGTCCCAGAGAAGAAATAAGGAGTTGAGGGAGGAGTGAGTTAGGCATGGTGGTTGGGGGCAGTCTTGCTGCTCTTGACTACTTATACAGATTTCATAAAATAAAGACAGACATGATTTTCCAAGAAGTACACAGAGCATATCATTTTGTCTCTGGACATGTGTTTGATTTTTCATTGCATGTCCAGGGTCACAGGTTCAATTACAGTTAACAGGTACAGATAGAACAGATTTCATTTTTATTATCAGTCCCATAACTCCATTTTAAAGACTGTCTCTGCCAAAGCAAACATGTTTGATATAAGACAGCCTGTTTTTAAGCTGGCAGCAATTGTGGTTTCAAAGTAGTCCAGACAAACAGAAAATATTTGAGCCGGTCTTTTTATGGATGGCAAATCATGATACTTAACTCCTTTTGCTTATATCCTTATATCATCTAAACTAATAGAAAGATTATTTTAATCAGTTTATCTTTATTAGTGAGTTCTATTCCCATAAGGGTGTACCCTATATAAGCCCCTATCTTTAAACTACATTTCAGAAAGCTCTAAGCATATTCTAAAAGGAGGCCTCTGATCTGTCGCCAGTTCTCCTGGCCAGTCAGAGTTTGTCAACAATCTTTAAGTTCACATTGTTCCACTTATTTGAGTTTACTTAGGGACAGCTGCACCAAGAAGGTGCAGTCATAGCCTCATAAAGAAATTTCTAGTATCATTGTGCTTATCACAATATCCAGGGCATAAGGAAGACTTCCAGATAAGGCCAGATAAAGTTATTTTCCTAAAAGCAGAAGGGATAAGTTTAGGGCTTTCCTGAAAAGACCTCGACATAATTTTCTGAGAAAAAACATAAAATGAATCATAATGCAGAGTTCTCAAGAATGCAACACACAGAGACCAAAACCTAAGGGTGAGAGACAGAATGACAGTGATTTCAGCATTTGGTTTAACTTTGCTGGAACTGGATCAAACAGCTGTGCTGGCTTTATGACTTTTACTGTTTTCCAGTGGATATGGCAATGCCATTTACCCATTTCTGATTTGTCAACATAAAGGTTTGCAGATATCATGTAGGCCATTTTTTAGTCTTTAGAAGATGACTGGAAGAACAAGAGTTAAAATTAGAACAACCACACCCCCCAAAAAAATTAGAACTCCCAGAATTATTCCCAAATTAATAATAAAAAACCAAAAGTCCTATCCCTAGACAAAGGATGTCAGACTTTAAAATTTTATCTACAATTTCTGCAGCTGAGATAGGTCCTGATTGATCTGCGCTTATAGCTGCAGTTTGTTGATGTAAAGGCTCCATATTTATGGTCAAATCAGATTTATTCCGTAAGAGATGGGATCTAACTTGTTACCACATTATGTAACCCTCCCAGGTGTTAAGATTACAAGCATTTCGGGGTGGAAAGATGGCTCAGTGGATTCTAGTGGTGTGGGGTAGAGACCCAAAGACCACACAGCACAACTGAAGTCTGAATTGAGAGTCTGTATTAGACTGAATGGAGATTGTCTGAAGAGAAACACTTCACACAGAGCATCCCAGAATGCATTTTATAAGAAGCTTTTAAAGGCAAACAGCAACAAAACTCATACTTGTTGGCAATTTCAGTCTAATAGAAGCCGAAACATGGTGTTAGCTGGGTTATTTTGACTCTTGAGTTTTTAGAACAGGGTTGGGAACTTTCCTTTGAAAAGTTGGGACTTTTCATAGAGTAGGCGTGGGGTATAGAAAGTGGGGTGGAGTCAGTTTCAGTTTAAACCAAAGGTGGCTGCAGCTGAAACAAGATGGAGGGATCTTTGCCCTGTCACAACTAGGACTTGAATGGTTCTGTAGAGGACTTAGGTTTGTTTCCCAGCACTTACATGGTAGGGAAAACTCCATTTTCAGGGAAGCCATTGCCACCTTCTGACCTCCTTGGACACCAGGTATGCATGTAGTCCACATACAACAATGCACATAAATCTAAAGCAAATTTTTTTGTCTTTGTTTTTTTTGAGACGGGGTTTCTCTCTGTAGTCCTGGCTGTCCTAGGACTCCCTCTGTCGATTAAGCTGGCCTTGAACTCAGGAAGATCTGCCTGCCTTTGCCTCCTGAGTGCTGGGATTAAAGGCATGCACCACCACAACTGGCCCATAAAACAGATTTTTAAAAAAATGCATTTCACGTCATAGTAAGAGCATGGTATCACACAAGAACAAGTTGAATTCTGGGTTATTAAACAGTTAAAGTTCACTTCCTCAAGCTGTAATTTTTCACCTTTGAACTGATACTAAGAACATTTATCTCAGCTTGTCGCAGTGTCGCACGCCTATAATCCCAGCACTCAGGAGGCAGAGGCAGGCGGATCTCTGTGAGTTTGAGTTCAGCCTGGTCTACAAAGTGAGTCCAGGACAGCCAAGGCAACACAGAGAAACCTTGTCTCAAAAAAACTGAAAAACAAAATCACTTTTAATAGTCATTTTTAATAATTATTAAAAAGAAATTGCAAATAAAAAACAGTGAAATTAACCAGACCCAAAGTCTATGATACATCTCAGTGAACAGTTACGAGGTTGTTTGAATGAGAAGGCTCCCATAGGCTCGTGTGCTTGAATGGTTGGTCCCCTATCAGTGGAACTGTTTTAGGATTGGGAGGTGTGACCTTGCTGGAGTGTGTCACTGAGGGTGGACTTTGAGGTTTCAAAAGCCCATGCTCAAGTCTCTTTCTTTCTGTGTACTGCCTGCACATCATGATGTAAGGATACCAGCTACTATGCTGGCACTCATGCCTGCCTGCTTCCTCCCATGATGATGGCCTAACCCTCTAAAACCAAGCAGGCCCCAATTAAATGCTTTCTTTTGTAAGAGTTGCCTTGGTCATGATGTTTCTTCACAGCAGAGAACACTAAGACAAGTTAGAATAGCTGTTCTGAACATAATACAGTTTTTAAATTAAGATAACATGAAGTGTCTAGTACAGTGTCAGGTTCTCAAATATTGTACAAAATTGTCTTTAACAATTTATCTTGATAGCAAAGAGTTCCTATCTCTATCTCTTCTAAACTCTTCTTTTTTTCAATGTATTTTACTATCCTTTGTGTCTGAGCCTTTGTTTTAGCTACTTTTCTTAAGCCTCCTACAACTTGTTTACCTCACTAATTTCTATGCATCCTTTAGATCCCTGACCAGCCTCCCCTACCTCCCACATCCCAGTCTGAGTAGTCACTTGCATATTCCTTTAATCAGTTATCTCCCACATTAATTAGCTTAAGTAAGGGAAGGGACAGACACAATGTCTTGTTCACTACCATATTCCTAGGTCTCTGTGAAGTTTCTCACACCTTACAGGATAAGTATTAAAGCAATGGTCATTGCCATTTTTGTTTCCCCATCATCATTCAAAAGCAGTGTCTCACTTTGGCTTATAGTTTTTGTGCTATGTAATTGTGATGATCATAGAAGGTATTTTTAGGTCAAGTGCCTATCTCTTTTTTCCTGAAGCATGTGCTTTGCCCTGATCAAAGTGAGCATAGCACACACAGCTGCTTACTACGCATCTCTCCATCACAGGTACCTTAGGAGAGCTAGATGCCCTCATGGATAAAGTTTACACGCAGAACCCAGACTGGCAGCATCCTTCAGATCTTACTACACGGTAAGTGGGTCTCCTTCTGAAGGAGAAACGGTTAGAATTTGGTTGCAAAGGAAATAAGATGAGGAATTGGGTTATAATTGTTTTATTTCCAGAAAAGAAGCATGGCCTTTTAGAATGAACTAAAAATTGGGGAGCAAAATTCAGGTTCTAATATTAGACGTACAATGTTTAACTAACCAGCTGTATGATCTTGATCAATTCAATTCAATTTTATGCTTAAGAGTAAATTTTCTGGTTCTAAAAATCAAGTTTCATTTTTTAAAATTGTGTATATGTGGTGTGCATGGGGGAAGTGCCTGCGTGCAATGGTACACTGTGGAGGCTGAGATTAACTTGGTGGAGTCAGTTTTCTCCTTCACTTTTACATGGGTTTGAGAGCGTGAACTCAGATTGTCAGGATTTTGCAGAAAATGCTTTTGTCCACTCCGCCATTTTGCTGAGCCCAGAGTCAGGAATCACTACCACCTTCTTCTCCTCAACTTCCTCTTCAATAAGGTCTTGCTATTCAGGCCAGCCTCAGCTGCCGAGTCTTATTTTATAATCATACACTACCATACCCAGCTTCAGTATCCAGAGTGCTAGGCTGGGCTGGGTAGCATACACTTAATCACAACACTTGGGAGGCAGAGGCCAATGGATCTCTGTGAGTTCAAGGCCAGTCTGGTCCACATAACAAGTTCCAGGCCAGCCAGGGTTACATAGTGAGACTCTGTCTCAAAAAATAAAAAAATCTAGTATGTGTGTTTGTCTGTTCTGAGATAGGGTCTCCTTATGTAGCCAGGCTATCTTCAAAATGATGATGGCCCTTCTCCTACTTCCTGGTAGCAGGATTGTTGGCATGGACCACCACACCTAAACTAAACTAAAATCTTGGTTCTTGTGTTGGCACGATGGCTCAGTGAGTAAAGATAATTGATGCTAAGCCTATTAACTTGAGTTCATCCCCAGAACCAGATAGTAGAAGAAGAGAACCAATTCCTGCAAGTTGTGCACGGATTTATACACATGAGCCGTGGCACATGGGCACCTGTGTCACACAAATAATTAAGTAATTGATTGATTGAAGAGGATCTGTGTTCTTGACCCTGTCTGTGGCACATGGGCACTTGCACACACGCACACACATAAATACATAAAGGAATGAATGAATGAATGAATGAATATTTTAAAATATCTGGGTTTTTTTTTTTTTCATTTATTTACTTTTTTATTTATTATCTATACAGTGTTCTGCCTGCATGTACATCTGCACACCAGAAGAGGGCACCAGATCTCACTATAGATGGTTGTGAGCCACCATGTGGTTGCTGGGAATTGAACCCAGGACCTCTGTAAGAATATCCAGTGCTCTTAACCTCTGAGCCAGCCCCAGTATCTGTGATCTTGACAGTACAGTTTTAACTTTAATTCAGTGACTCAACAGCCTTAGGATAGGTGTGATGGCACATACCTTTAATTCCAGCACTTAAGAAGCAAGGGTAGGCAGATCTCTGTAAGTTTGAGGCCACCCTGGTCCACATAGACCCTGTCTAAAAACATGCATATGCAAAAAAAAAAAAAAATTAAAGTCTTGGTGTTACTGTAACATTTTTCTCTCATATTCCATATTTGGGCATAAGGAAATCATAGAGGCTCTACCTATATACCCAAGGCTGACCATATCTTATACCAGGATACCTGCAAATCTCCTGTATCTGCCATTGCTTGCTTACTCTTCTTAACTCAGAAGCCCAGGAGATTCTTTTAAAGCACAAGCTGAGTTCTCTTCTCACTCTTTCCCATTGGCTTCCACCCAGCTGCCTGTCAGTCCTCTAAGAGTACTGTGTGCTTTGCCTAGGCTACCAACCTTATTCACTACTGTTACTGCTCACTCTATTTTGGTGACACTGGCTTCATCAGAGGCACAGCACTAATCCCAGTACTCTGGAGGCAGAGCAGGGTAATTGCTACAATCTAAGATCTAAGTATCTGGGGGTACATAGCAAATCCCAGGATACATGGCAAGATTCTCAAAATAAGTGAAAGAAAAAACAGCAAGCAAGCAAAACAAAACAAGGAAACATAGGCAGTTCTCAGATGGTATAGAGATAGAAATGTAGCTTGCTTGTAAGCTCTAGATTCAATACCCAGTATAGACATGCACCTCAAAAAAGAGGGGCCAGTGTAATATAATTGCTACTAAATAAATTTTGGAGTCAGATAGTGAATAAAAATCTAGCTTTTTTTTCCCCTACTCGTCTATGACTTTGGGAAAGTTACTTTACCTGAGGCAGATCTCTGTGATTTCGAGGCCAGCCTAGTCTACAGATCAAGTCCAGGACAGCCAAGACTACATAGGGAAACCCTGTCTCAAGAAACAAACAAACAAAGAAAAAGTTGTGCTAGCTGTTTTATATATATACAGATGACCATTCCAGCTGAAAATCTTTCCTGTTTTTATTCTCCTTCTCTCAATAGAAATTATGCCCGGTTTCGACAGAGACCTCTTCAAAGATACAGCCTGAGTCAGTGGGTTGACAGGAATAAGCGGAGCCACCATCGCTTCCAGCGCCTCCCCGACTTCTCGTACAGTCCATGTGTTTCATCCCATCAACAGTGACAGTCGCTGTCCAGGGTCCAGCTCAGAGCAGCATCTTATTTTTTTCTTTCTTTCTTTCTTTTTTTTTTTTTTTTTATATTTTGAGTTTTATTTTTCACAAGATTTTTTATTTAAAGAATTTGTCACCTTTTGAAAATGCCCATTACTGTCTTGAATTTTTTTTTTTTTAATGAGGACCCTCCTGATTTGTTTGTCTGTCTATATACATTTCAGCAATGTGAAGTGGTGTTTTTCTGCTTGTTGTTGCTGCTGTTTTTAAATTTAAAATGAAGGTAACTCCCTTCTAAAGGCCTGTATGAAGTCAGAGGTCCAGGCTTAAGTGAAATTCCAAGTGTAGGCACAGGCAGAGTATACTTTACTACCCAAAAGAATTACCTTTCCGTCCACTGTAAGGAAGAGGTGGTTTTGTAGGCTAAGAGCCAGTGACGTTACTGGTGCCTAGTGAATGGATGGAAGTCGCTGTTAACAACTCCACTTTTAAAATTTGAGTCTCTTGAGTACTTGTCAGTATTTTAAGGTTGTCAATTGAGGACATTTTAAATAGGATGGAGTAGGAGAAAAGTACTGTTGAAAGGATAGGTTAAAAATGTAAAGCCTCTCCTTTCTGTACCTATTAGCTGCCGTTATTTTTTTAAATTATTATTATTGGCTTTTTTCATTCTCTGTTAAATATATCTTGTTCGTAGTGTTTGCAGGTCTTAGACATCTTAACTCTGACAGAAGACAGCTGACTAACCCCTGTTGAATACTCTGTTATCTGTAACTGGTTGGTTTCTCTGCCCCTTTAAGATTTTTTTTTTCTTTTTTTTCTACTCCCAGTGACCACTCTTTTCCTGGAGGTTTACAGGAAGTGTTTTTATATCCTGTTAAACTTAGACATGCCTTTCAGAATGCCCTCTTGTTTGCTGAAGAATACCACCAGAATCTTGACTTAATAAGCCAGCACCATTGAGGTGTCCTGGAGTCCTCAGTTTCTTCTGTAGAACCCCAAGTTTATGTGTTGGTGTTGTTGAAGGAACCTCCTTCCTGTGGAAGACTTTGGAGAGTCACTCTTTTGCCTCTCTTGTTGGTTACAGGTACCCTTACACCCTGGTCAGAGTCCATTGTTTCCCATCAGTACTCAGAGTGTCTAGGGAAATTGTGATTGAGCCCCTATGCCGCAGCATCGCCTGCTCTTGAGTAAGGTTTGGTGTTCTAACCAAAGCTGATAGTCTCTGTGTATCTGTCTGCATGGATGTCTTGGAAGATTGTTATTTCTTCTGGCAGCTCTAGACATCTTTTTGGAAGGTTTTACAGTATGGCATCCATGCTCTGTCATTCACTCTTGAAGGTTATTCATAGCTGTGTAGCCTCTGCTTTTCTTTCCTCAGTCCCATTTTTGTATGTGGATAACCCATCCTAAATATTCTATTCCACTTTAGAAAAGTGACTTGTTTTGTTTTTTGAGACAGGGTTTCTCTGTGTAGCCCTGGTACTCTGTAGACCAGGCTGGCTTGGAACTCACAGAAATTGGCCTGCCTCTGCCTCCTTAGTGCTGGGATTAAAGGCATGTACTACCACTGTTTGGCTAAAAAATGACTTTGATTAGGAAAATCTTTTTTTTTTAACTTTTTTTTTTTTTAAACCTTCAGTAGATTTGGATAAATGTTCCAAAGTCTGTGTTGGTTTTTCTTTTCTTTCTTTCTTTCTTTTTATTTTTATTTTTATTTTTTTGCAGAGTTTCCTATGTATCCTAGGCTAGCCTTCAACATATTTTTTAGCTCAAGGTGGTCTTTCACTTCTGATTTTCCTGCCTTACCTCTCAAGTACTGGAATTGCAGGTGTGTGCCATGCCCAGTAAAAATTTTCTCTTTTTTTTTTTTTTCCCTCTAAGACAGGACTTCTTAGTGTAGTCCTCCTGGAACTGGCTCTGTAGATCAGGCTGACCTCAAACTTAGAGATCTGCCTTCCTCTGCCTTGATTACTGGACTAAAGGTATGTAACACCATGCCGAGCTTTTGACTTTTTTCCCCCAGAGAGAATTTTCTATTGCTTGGTTGTTTGGTTTAGATTCTGAAACCAGACTTGCAAAGCCAATAGTTTAGATTTCTCTCTTGGTTAGCAAAGTTTTCATTGACCTCATTGGTCACTTGTCCAAGTTGCTGTAAGTTAGCCTGATAGAATGAGATAATCCACCTTTGGGACCAAAACAAAGTTCAGATTAAATATAGCTAGAGTAGTTAGCATGGTGGCTAAATAGTTCCTCACAGATAACCCAGGGAATGAAGGTACAACATTTTGCTTAGGTGAAAATCTGAGATGTTCTTGCTCTCTGGTACCAGGAGGGTTTAAGACTGAATGTATAATGGGAGCATTGCCTTTGCCAAATCAGATGAGTGACAGGTTAACTAGAAAATGTGACAATCACATTTCCTCTAGCTCAGATAATTCTGTTTTTCCAAAGTGTTAGCAGCCTAATTAAATCTGTTGGACTGGGGGAGGAGAGAGCTGTTCTCTAGTGGTTAACATGGTATTCTTTAAGGAGAAAAAAACAAAGCCAAAGAAAAACTCATTATCTGGCATGTTAGCCTTAAAGATGGTAATGGGCAGAACCTGGAGTTTTAATCTCTTCAGAGCTGCATATCTCTTATATTCGGTATTGGCCTCTAAGTCTTGTATTGCAGATTAAATTCTTGCTGTATTTTTAAGTTTGAGTAAGAGTTATGTGCATTTAACTGTGTGCCTAGCTTTTATCATCCATGATGACATTCTTGCCACAAGGGTCTTGACAAAGCAGAGTAAAAATTTGCTATTTGTAGTTTACTTATAAGTAAGGAGCCTAAAATAACCAATAGTTTTGCATTGTAATATGGGCTCTGATTTACTTGCATTGTTGTCAGAATCATTTATGAAACTGAAGTTTGGTGCCTCCTTTTTTTTTTTTTTTTTTTTTTATCATGTTTTTTCCCCTTGTAGCAGTTGTGTTTAATGTCATTAAAAAGAAATAAAAGTTCTTGTCAGTGGCATATGTACTGTGGCCGTCTGTTTCGGGAGGAGGGCTCTTTGCCTTCCTCTGCGTAGGTCGTTCAGTAGGATTTGGGAGGGTGGCAGCATTTAGTAGAATATGGTTCTGCGAAGGAGAAGGTGCTTGCTCCCTGTTCTTTTGAGGGTAAATTACAGTGCTGAGGAAGGCGTTCCAGCAGTTAAGAAATGTTGAAATTGATTGGGATTTGCAGCTCCATATGGTGCATGTCAGGAGCCTGACACAGAGAGCCTGAAATATCATTGCTGCTGTTTTTGAGGGGGGAAGACCATGCAGTTGACATCAGGCAGGCTGTGCCTCACACTCCTTCCCATGGCCCCTGCTTGGCCATTGTGTCTGTTTCTTTCAAACTAGCACTGCTATTCCAGGGTATTCTCCCTTTGGAAACAGGAGAAACCAGAATCAGTAATTTGAAATTGGTTGTTCTTAACCCAACTTCTCCAAAAATTGTTGCTCCAGGAAGCTGGCATGAAGATTAGATGAATGTGGGTAGATGCTGGAGACAGCATTCTCTAGATTGCGTTTATGAACCTAAGCTTCTTAGATTTCCTCTTAGGAGCAAGGATACAAGGGGATCAATAATAGATTGTTAGCCAGTGCTCTCAAAATCCCAACACCTGCTGAGAAAACAGCTAGCAACATTCTTGGACAGGCTCCCTGACCTGCTGTTCTCTACATTTTGGGTGGTATTTTTGAGACAGTATCTCACTATGAAACCCAGACTGGCTTCAAACTTGAAGTTCTGCCTCCATCTCCTGAAAGGAGATTAAGGCAAGTGCCACCATGCCAACTTCTATGTTCTGTCTGGAGTGTGTGTGTGTGTGTGTGTGTGTTCGTTCTAGACAAAGCCATTCTTACTCTAAGCAAAAGACTATACAGAAATGTGGTAAACACTTAGTTATTTGATACACTTGTCTCAAAGTGTGGTATTCTTAACTTGTGTATATGTATTGTTCCTGTCAGGTGTAGAGTATCTTTTTGGTAATTGTTTTCTGTTTATCAGTGTGTTAGTTTCTACCGTAGAAACTAACATTTCAGAGACCAGGATGAGTTCTCTGAAATGACAGTGTCTCGTACCTTCCATTCATCTTGTTCCAGAGAAGCAGGTAGAAAAAGGAGAAGTGGTACGGGCTCATTCTCTAAGAAGCCCATCTTGAGCTTTTATAAGATGAGAAACCAATGTCCTCTTTTATTCCCCAAATAATTCCAGGGTGTGTGTGTGTGTGTGTACATGCTGGGGCACTTGTTGGTAAAAATTTCCACTTGTCACAGAGAGTCAACTGGTCAGTGTTGAATTCCTTAATGAACAAGCACCTGCCTTGTCATTCCAACCCATTTATTCCCCTGTAACAGCTGGAACATGTCGATGGAAAAATCTGTCCTTCCCCAGCACCCAGTCAGAAACAGGAGGAATGTGATCTTTGGGGTAACCTTTAAAAACAGTCCAGTGACAATCCTGAAATGCATCACCAGGCTATCTGTATTCAGAGATCTCCTTCCTTCACTTAGCTTCAGGCTATATTTTCAGATTTTTTTTTTTTTTTTTTTTTTTTTTTAGTCTGTGGGCTGGCCTTGGGGGCAGTCACTGTCCTGTTTATAGAAGTCATTTGCTTCTGGAGGCTACTTTAAAACAAATTTCAGTAAGTAAATAAAGTAGAAGTCTGGCCAGACTTCAGGCAGAGACAGGTGGATCTCTATGAGTTCGAGGCTAGCCTACAGAGTTGAGTTCCAGGCCAGCCAAGGCTACACAGAGAAACCCTGTTTTGAAAAAAACAAACAAAGTAGAAGCCTGAAACATATGGGTAGCCTGGTGAAATGTTATGTGTATCTATAGGACTGGGTTTGGTTTTAGAGTCTGCCTGTACTGAGGACCAGAGAAAGGACCCCTGCTTCAAATACCCAGCAGCCTTGTGCTGCGTACCCTTACCTCCTTGGCCTCCACTCATGTTTCTAGTACAGCTTTTAGTCATTCTGGTTGGATGGGCTCTGGAAATCCTCTTTGAATCCAATATTGGTAGAAAAAAAAGCCTATTCCACCCTCAGAAGTGACTGCCCAAGGTGTCGGGGTCTCCTGCCTCCCTCTCTGTCCATCATTCTTCCCGTAGGCCTGCTGTGGTCTTGGTCTCAGAGCTGCCTGTCCCTTTCCCAAATTATAAGAAATCTTTGGACTCCCCTGAGAGGAAGAAAGGACCACTTCTCAAATAACCGCTGTAGAGTTTGGCTGCACTAACGGTTGACTCGAGAAGAATGCAGTCCTTATCTTAGGAGGAAGAGGAGAGAACTCAAAGCTCAAGGAGCAGCGTGCTCCCTCCAGATCATCACGGTGTACCGCAGGCATGCTCTCCAACACCGCCCTGCCCGGTGCTTCTCTGCTTCTCGGAAGCAGATGGACAGAGAGAGCCTGGGAAATACCCTTCTGAGGGCTGGTTTGGCGTTCTGTCTGTTCAAAGGCTCCTGAGACCTCCCTTTCCCTCAGCTTTCAGAACCCACTCTAAGCATTGCGCATCTGACATCCTCTCCCCTGGCTCTGGACAGGAGGTTCATGGTGCCCCATTTATTGGTTCGCTCATTGGCTAATGGCATCATTACTCTGCCTGGCTCTCAGCCTGCTGTTGGGATCTTGATGTTGCTTTAACAACACAGAGTGAATACTGAATGGTTTTCACAGAAAGCAGCCTTTGTCGTTCTTCACTCCTTTCCTCACCCCACCCCAGATAAGAACCGAAGCCCTCTGGCAGGAGGCTCTCTAGAGAGGAAACCCTTTGTTTTAAGAAGCTGAGCAGACGCTGCATACCTATCTGGTGAGGCAGCCCAAGCTGAGCTTAGAGAGGAGCCTCAGAAAGGATGGTAGAGCATCTATTTTCTTCTACGCGCGCACCCCCATCTGTTCGAGAATTCCCTTCCAGCTCCAGCTTGGCTGGCAGGCATGTCCCTAAGAAGCTACAGGCCAAAATGGAAGAGAATGTCTCCCTCCTCCACACATCCTGACTTGCTGCCAATTGCCAGAAAAAGAGGGCAACGTTTGGGCATTTACCAGAAGACAAGGATGTGCCTTTTCATTATTTGTCTTTATTTTACATTTAAAAAGTGGTTATTGCTCTAACGATCAGAGGTAAGGACCTCTTGTAAGGAGCCTTGGCCTTGCAGCCCCATTCAGCAGGGATGGAAGTCACAAGACGATGAGTGGAACCTCATTCTCTCCCAGGAGAAAGCCCTTAAGTTGCTGACATCTGCCCTTATCTGTCTCTTCTCTCCCGTGCTACCACAGTTGGAGAAAGCAGAGTGGTGGCTAACCCATCATCCTTGAGAGCTGTTAAAGACCCAAATGAAGGGGCAGTCATTGGGTGATGGCTTTCAGCTCTCTGACTTGGGCACCAGTGCTTATCATTCAGTACAACAGATATTTTACCAAGCACCTACTGTGTGCTGCCTTGGCCACTGATGGAAAATGTACAGTCCACCTTTTCCCATGCAGGCATTTGGCAGTCATGGTACCTCAGTCCCCAAGAAGTCTGCTCGCCTCATCAAGCACCTTTTTTTTTTTTTTTTAACCAGAAAGGGGCAAAGGAAAGGAAGAAAGCAGAGAGAGAATGAGAACAGAGAGCACTAGCTGTCATTTCATACTTTAAGCTCTGGGGAAGGACGAGAACCCTGGATAACTTTCACAGGACCCTGTGAAATCCAAAGTGACAGTGGCCGCTCTCTGCCCATCTCATGTGAATGGCTTTCCAGCAGGTCTCAGCAGCCCCTAGGATGTGGGCTGTTCATGTAGCCTTTTCATTTACCCAAGCTGACACTGCTGCACGGCAGAGGCGCTTCCTTTAAAAGTGGGCAGTCCCTTCTGGGTCTTCTTAAATCTCCATATCATCTCACCACAAAGATCTGTCCTTGTGCAAGATAGATGCAAACACTTATCTCAGTCCTCTAGCCTCTGGAGTGCAGCCTTCCAGTTGGGTTTCCCGAGAGTCAAAACAACTAACCGCATACACACTGGCAGTGGAGCACCTCACACCGAAGACGTCTTTATTGGCTCAATCCAGAAAGGGCTTGATGGAGTCAGGCCAGCCCCACACCTTCCTTGGTGCCCTTGGTCGGACAGACACAGCTCCAGCCAGTCTTGCTCTCTTCCAGAGCTGCTTTGTGCATTTGTGGAAGACAGTCCAGGAGAAGTGAGGCAGGAGGCTGTGTCTCATGCAGCTTTGCCTTCTCCACAATGGTATCTACCCTCTAGCTTTGTGGCTTTTTTTTTTTTTTTTTTTTTTCAGAATTTGGGTTTGTAGTTCGGCCTCCTCCATCAGACTACGGTGGGGAAAAGGAAAAACGGTGGCAAGCTGCACCCCCACCACTTTCGTCAGCTTTCACCCTATGCCCAGAAGGGCACAGGGAGCAACAGAGGATGAAACCCTTCCCCTGAAGATGGGGGTAGCCACACTTTGAGGATGTTCACAGAGAAACGGGAGGGAGCAAATGAGAGAAGTGGCCATAGCTGGTTAAATAGACTTCTTGCAAGCTAGGAAGCAGGACAGAGGAGGAAAGGAACAGCAGGGCTACAGCCTAGACACCAGGCTCTTCTCCCTCGCAGAAAGAAAAGAATGGCCCCGCCTGAAAGTCTTGTTTTTCTGCCTTTTCACACCTGGCCTTCGGTCAAGCTGAGTGGCCAAGATGCAAACCCTGGGCTGAGAGCCCTGGCACCCAGTCTACCCCTGCAAAGGCATCCCTCTGCCTGGTTCTCTCATGGCCTGTAGATCTGTCTCTGATTGCAAACCTCAGCCACCGACATTATTGAGGTGCTCCTGGAGTTAGGGGTTACTTAGAGGCTTCAGGAAAAGACATCAGAAAGAGAGAAGCCAAGAGAGAAGATAGGAAGCCTGATGATACAGGAAGATGGAAGTGGGGAGAAGACGCAGAGAAGGCCAGATGTCTGTTGGACAATCATCGTCACTGTTCTAGTGAGGTCCTCTCACATTCTCTACTGTCTTCTGAGCTGCTCAGAGCAAGCACTGAAAGGGTTTCATATCTGTTTCCATAGAAGAGGAAGCGAAGGTACAGAGGTAAAACACCGCCCCGGGCACATGACCCCTGTGCTTGCTGTTCCACCCACACCAACTATTGGCTGTCTTAAAAAAACAAAAACCCACACCAACCATTGGCTGTCTTAAAAAAACAAAAACAAAAACAAAAAACCAAAAAGCACAGCCCTTGGCATCCTGCAAAAGGCAAAGATCCAACATCAATTTTCAGTGTCCCCTGTGTCACACAGGCAGCAGCCAAGCTTGGCTTTGCCCAGCTGCTGCCATGCCAGGCCCTGGGCTGACCCCTTCTGCAGTCCAGGGACTACAATGTTTAAGGCATGGGGCCGCCCAGCAAGCCCCACTGGCACCCTCACCTTGCTGCGGAGGAGACCGCCACCCTGGTGCTCTGGTGTGCTTGTTTCAGATGCGCTCTTGGTTTTTTCCTTGTTGTTGTTGGGCTCGTTGTCCTTGATGATGTCATACTGGCGGCAGAAGAGGGCTATAACACCTAGGAAGATAGGCAGGAGTAGTGAGAGGCCGGAGTCTGGGTTCCTACCCTGCCTGCCTTATCACTTCCAGTGTTCACTGCCTTCTCCAAATGGCCTCTGCACTGCTGCAGCAGCCTCCCTCCAGCCTCTGGCTCCTTTTCCCACCTACCTGGCCACCAGCCATCCCTGTGTCTGCTGCCTGGCTGGTCCTCCCACGGCATGGATCTGATCATGTCTCCCCGTTAACCCCTCCTTTAAGCCCCTGATGGCTACCACAGAAATGATGATGGCGTTTCTTGAGCACGTGCCAGGCCCTGTGCTGTGCACTGATGTATTCAATCCCACTTGCTCCTCACAACTCCAACCTATTATTATCGGGGTACGGAGGGAGCACCGCGGTGAGAGAGTTTCCATAATTCAAGGTCACACCATGGTGCGGCAGGGAGGTGATAGGAGGCAGGGTCTGCTTACCGTCTACTCTCAACCTAGTAACACATGGATAGTATTCATACTGCTAACTCCAGTCAGGTATGGTCCCTGTCCTGCCACTATGGTGTTCTTTCTTGATCCTGGTTAGAGAGCCTCATCTTCCCATCATAGCAGATAAAACCCAGCAGCTCCTAGTTTCCCCTCCAACATCCTAAGAATCCTGCCATGAGTTTGGGTTAATTCTCTGTTTCCATTGTTATGGTTATATAAACACTGTCGGTGCCAAATCTAATAATGTACTAT